GTGGTTTTAGTGTTTGCATTAGATTTTTTGTGTTTGCGTTTGTTTTTTAGTGTTTGTGTTTGTGTTTTTTTGTGTTTGCATGTTTTTAAGTTTGCAACTTACATGTATTTGCTGCGTGTTTCGCCATTTGCTGTGCATTTGGCTGTTTGTTGTGCATTTGCACCCGTCAGCCAACGTATTTTCCGCAGTAAATAAATGATCAAATATAATAATTTGTCTCATTTGTTTAACTGGGTTCTCTTCATCTACTTTTAGGACTTGTGTGAAAGGCTGATAATGTTTTAGGTCATATTTATGCAGAAATATAAAACATTATAAAGGCTTCACAAATTTTCAAGCACCACCACTGTTTTATCACGTGCCCTCTGTAGCTAATGGTTGGCTTCAAAGTTAAGTGTTTTTAAGGATGACAATATTTTAAGTAAAAAAAAAAAAATAAATCTAGCTTCCTCCTTTAACTTTATTAACCTGCTCTCTATTACTTACTTGACATTGCACTTAAATTACAGATTGTGGTGTGGGTGTGGTGAATATCTTTAATGTACTGTACTGTAGATTTAACTGCATAGTTTTTTACAAAGCTGAGCTACAGAACAAGTGAACGACTGACTGATACTATTTTTATTCAGGACATGAAAAAAGTTTCTTTCACTTCTTTGTACAGGAAATGTGTTTCTGTTTGTACAACATTCATCCCTGCATAATGCCCATACAACAGTCATCAAGAACAAATGCATCCCATATGCTTTTTCTCAGAATTAAAATAAAAATTCTTGACATTGTGGGTGGAGCTGAACATAAGAAAAAAGTATTTAAAGGCTGAGATTTATGACGACAGATAATTTTGAAGATGGCTGTCCAAAGGCTTGTGGCTTGGTGTGCTGTGATGCTCATTCTGTTTTGCAAAGGTGAGAGAGAGAAAAACATGTTCTATGATTCCTAATTTTACTTAAATATTTGTCTTGTTACCAAATTCTGCATCGATGTGTGCATGTGTGTATATGTATATCATTGATGGGAGGATAAATAATGATTTCTGCATATAGCCATGACATTCTGAATAATAATAATAATAATAATGATAATGATAATGATAATGATAATATATTAAATGCTTTAAATATTTTCAAACTCATAAATCATGCAATTTTCATACAATAAATCTGGGCTGTTCAAGTTGAATGTTGTCTCATAATATTGTCTTATAGATATACAGTACAATTTAGACAGTTTTGAGGAATATTATGAAGTACTTACTGTAAAATCATAACCAGGACAGAGTGAAAAATGAATGATTTAGAAATTATATCTGTCCCTTTTTGTTTAGCAGAAGCAATAACCAAATTATGTTATCATTTGCAACATGCTACTATTGATCAGATGCTACAATTAGTTTTGACAACATGAGTATTTGGATAAATCCAAACACCCTTAATATCAAACTCACTGAGACTTTTGTAATCTGGATGAACAGATGATCAATACAAGCAGTTCTCATGTGTCTACCTGAAATCCCAGCTAATGACTGCTCAAAAGAAACTAACTTGGGAGTCTAACTACAACATTTTTTGCAAATTCTCCCAGTTTTTGACAAGAGAAAAATAAAATGTGTTCAAACTGTTGGGTTATAAACCACAAATATCTCCGTGGAGACATTAAAATTAAATGTTGAACTAGTCTGTTTTGAAATTTGTTGAATAGATTTATGTATTATATCTTACATGCAGTGATAAATCCATTTACAGCAAAACTAAACGTATGATAACTTTTTCATAAAGGACTTTTGTTAGGTTTCGGTTTGACGTCTGGACAAAAAGCATTACATTCTAGTTTATCCTAATTGTAGATATTTAAATAAAAGTTTAGATGACAAGAGGGAGGAAAAGCTACAGTAAATATTTATGTTTAAAAATGCAAAATCTTCAAGTTGTTCTGCAACGTGATGACATGGTGGATGTCATTCATCTTTCTCTTTTTTTTTTTTTTTTTTACAGGTTGCCATTCACAGCACCCTGGTAAGTATTAATGACCACCCATACAAGTTTGTCATGTTTGTTTAATCTTGTTAGAGCTACCCAGGAAGATTAGCTAATACTTTGCCATGTGCTTTAAAACAATGGCATTTTTTGTTGAAAGACCTGTGTACCCAAGGACAAAAGAAGATCAGGTACTCAGGTCTGGAGAGAGCTTTAATACGCAATTATACACCTACTAAAATAATTTGTTTTGTCTTTTGTCTAAAAACACAAACATAATATATATATAGTGTTCAACACTGTGTACTGGCCTTTTAACATTACAGTAGTCCTTCACTACTTCGTGGTTTGTTGCGGACTCGCTCTATCGCAGTTTTTTAAAATAAGATTGGACATGACACACAATTGGCTGATTGATCAATGAGCCACATGATCGGCATGGAATTTTTATTTAAAATAAATTATTTTTGATTATTTAGCACCTCCTGCAACTGTGTGCAGCCCACAGCTGCAGGATAAACTTCCTGCTGCAGCTGATCAGCTGTTCTCCCTGCAGCACGGAGAAATGGGCGTGGCCAAGAATGCTTGCAGGTGGCAAAGAGCAGATGAGGCAGGGAGTTTAAATCATGACATTCTGTACTGTTTTAGAGCGTTTAGACTTTGGAAACATTGTTTAGAATATTACGAGTGTGGGAAGGGTTTAAAACGCCTTAATATATAAATACTAAAATAAACTACTACTTACTACTTGTATTACTTCACGTTTTTTCACTTATCGCGGGGCATCAGGGTTACAGATCCCGCGTGATAAATGAGGGACTACTGCATTTATTTAACTGAACATGTTAGACACGTAAAAATTGTGAACCTAATAGTTTGTTCAAAAGAACCAAACTGCTTTTAGGCTCACATCTTTTCTAAAAAATACTGACTTTTTTTCTTAATCTTAACATTGCATTAAAATGTTTTCAATGTGTCACATAAACTTTATTATATTTACCTGCATGAGCAATGCATTCAAAACTTGGATTATTTCAGAATGTTTAAAATATATACAGTAATTAAGACATGAACACTTGTTGCATCAACTCCTTTTAAGCTTTTTTCCTCTTCCTTCATATTAGAATGTGGCAGAATGGTAGCCAGCAGCCGAATCATTGGAGGTCAGAATGCACCTGTAGGAAGTTGGCCCTGGCAGGCAGTTTTTAAACTGTACGGTTCCTTCTTCTGTGGAGGGTCACTGATCACCAACCAGTGGGTGCTGACAGCTGCTCACTGCCTAACCAGGTGAAGGTTCAATGTGTTTGGGTGCAGGGCAGGGTTGAAATATAGTGTTGAGAAAGAACTATGCTAAATTGGTCTTTGAGTTTGTTGACCCAAGAAATTGAGCGACATCAAATTGTGAAATTTCGCTTCCCATAGTCCCCATGATGACCCATGCCTTTTTATCAAAAGTACAGTTTCTTTACACAAATAAATGTCTGCAGCTTTATTACATTCAAAGTGCATGGAAGTGATTTTATTAGCTTGAAGACATAGTGTGTGTTTTTTTTATCTCTCTTTCTGCTTGTTTGAACATATATTCTTTTGTATGTAGAGACAGTTATGTGACAAGTACACGATCAAATTTAGATACTATATGACTACTTCTATTTATTTTTTTTGTCTTCAAGTAATGATGTCACCGGCATACAAGTCCATCTGGGTGTGCACAGCTTGTCAGGTTCCAACCCCAATGAAGTCATTCGAAGCCTCGATCAAATCATCTGTCATCCTCAATACAACGGCCAAACCTATGAAAATGACATTTGTCTTGTGAAGCTGTCAAATCCTGTGAATTTTACAGACTATGTAAGTCCGACCTGTTTAGCCTCAGACAACAGTACTTTTGATGATGGGCTTTCCACCTGGATCACTGGTTTTGGTGTGACTAGTAAGTTAAAAGTACCTTAATCATTTATAAACTACTTTTGGACTGCATATAAAGCTCTCTTTTCTTAAAATTAGGTTCAGGATCAACATCAGACATTCTGCAAGAGGTAGCTGTACCGATAGTGGGAAATAATGCGTGCACATGCTACTTGCAAGACTTCGCTGGAATCACAGAGAACATGATTTGCGCTGGAAAATTAGCTGGAGGAAAGGATACATGTCAGGTGATCACTTTTTGTCTGGTTGTTTTATTTCATGAATTTTTGACTGCAAAGGAAAATACTTTTTAAGAAACGTGGCTATATTTACATCGAACAGATTAATTTCAGACAACCTTAAAAACTCTTGTTGATTGACCCACAGGGCGACTCGGGAGGACCACTGGTAGCACAAAATGGCATTTCCTGGATCCAGGCTGGAGTTGTAAGCTTTGGTGATCGCTGTGGCTTACCAATGAGACCTGGAGTCTACACTAGAGTGTCCAAGTACCAGAACTGGATCAGTGACACAGTCTCTGACATGAAGCCAGGATTTGTGACCTTCAATTCCCCCGGATTTGACATAGACATGATCTTTGTCTGTCCTACAGCTTTTCCTTATACTACCCCAGCAATCACCACTGACGATAGTATATTTGGCAGTGGTGAAAACCTGAACCACTTCACTCAGCTGGTTGCTCTCTCTGTTCTTGCTCTGTTTCTTCATGTCTTTGTTGGCTGTGGTGGAATGTAAAGTATGCAGAGAAACCCAATGCACACATATGAAGTAGTTACCTATCTTATAACCAATTATTTTTATATTAATTGTATAATAATTACTTGTCATTTTGATTAGTACTGAAGTTTTGACAACTAATTAGATAAAAAAAAACATGATTAATTAAGAGATGCTCTTCAAATCAATTCATTTTTATTTTATTTTGTTTTTTTGGGGAGGGCCATTTGGTTTCCATACATTTAGGAATAAAAATAAACGTTGAAAATGTCTTTTTAATGACACTGATTTGTATATTTAATATTAAATACTTGCATGAAGCACAATGAGCTTATTTTGTTGGGGAAAGACTTTAAAACCACAACATTTACCTTTTTCACAATATGCAACATCCATCTGTCCATCCATCTGTCCAGTTTGTGTCCAACAGACACAAAAGTAGTAATACACATTGTGTAATACACACAGTTGTGATTCAATACATAGCTCAGTTTGGAGTCATGGTTCAGTAAAGTTTTTTTATAATATAACAAAGAAACAAATGCTAAGCGCCGTTTTTTTTCCCCCACATAATTTAAATGAACAAAAACTGTCCCAGTTGCAGAGACAGAAAAGTAAACCACCCTTTTTATTGTGGAGACTTGAAGGTAGCAGGCCAAGTACACCAAGGTAGGAATTGTAACCTGGTAGGTTCCCTGTAAATTAAAATTAAAATCATATACTGTCTTATTCAATTCAATCTGTGTTTTACAAGCCATGAGTCAAAGGAGTTTGACAAACTCCAAAACTAAAAGGTATATTTAAAAATATATACCAAATAAAAGAAAGAAAGAAAATACATGTATGTTGTTTGAGATCATTTTGAACATGGAAAACAAAAGACAATACAGAACCGAATGTCACCCATGTCAAAATACAAAATATATGTATCAAATGTTAAATAATCACACTAGCTTCCTAACTTAGGGGTAAGCGCTAACCTTCTGTTTTTATATGGGTGGCACATGATAAATACCAGGTGGTTAATGTAACTGTTTATTTGATGCCAAACACTTTCAAAGCACAAAACAATGTCCCTTTAGGTTTTACAGGCATACAGTACCTACGTCAATGTTTTTGTTGTTGTTGTTGTTGTTGTTTTCTCAAACAAGCCAGATAGTCAGAATTTGAAAAGTTAGTTTTAATGCTTACCCAAAAAAAGATTATGTTAGACCTAAAATACTAGGATATCTAGAATACTAGGATAAAGCTACTCAAAAGCAACATTTCATCAATCCATCCATCCATTCAATATCTTACCCACGTCTTCCTAATTGGGTCATGGTTGTCACTGGTGCCTATATCCAGCGGTCGCTGTTTGAGAGGCAGTGGACACCCTGGACAGGTCTCCAGTCCATCACAGGGACACATGAAGACAAATGAGATAAACAACCATTCACTCTCTCACTCCAAATAAAACCAACTACGTCAGTTTTAACTGGCTATAACTACCTGTATATGGAACCTGAACCACAGTAAAGCTTTATAACAGCCCTAAGATTACAATCAGTTATTTTAATGCTAATAAACTCAACAGTATTTGCTAAACTTTCAGTTTTATACGAGAGGCTGGGCCAATACGGTGGCGCAGTTGGTAGAGCTGCCGTCTCTCAGCGAGAAGGGTGCCGGATCAAATCCTGGATGGGGGCCTTTCTGGGTGGAGTTTGCATGTTCTCTCCATGCATGCGTGGGTTTTCTCCGGGTACTCCAGTTTCCTCCAACAGACCAGAAACATGCATGTTAGACTGATTGGTAACTAAATTGTCCCTAGATGTGAGATAGAAGCTCAAGTTAAAATGGCTTTGCAATGTCTATATGTAGTCAAAAATTAGCACAAGCTCTGTGAGGTTACAAGAAAAATAGGAATGTGTCAATATTTTAAATTTAAAGACGAAGCTTTTGTCCCTAGTTACCCATGTCCCAGGATAAATTTGATAGTTGGCTGGTATCTGAGGCCAAACGGGAGAGTCAGATTCAGATATGCTACAATTGTTGATTTTTCTTCAGGCAGACTGTTTTTCCTTGTCAGCCTTGAGTCCTGCTGGAACTTTCCAGTCTAAAATGGTCAAATTTATTGGTATCTGCTCCATTGATCCGTGTTATGAGCCTTCATCAAGGTCGATCTCAACATGCTGATGACTCCAAGAAGCCGCAGGTGGCCACGATTTTCACAAATCACCTCCATCTTATGGTTTAGCTCCTAAATCAGCTGATTTTCAGTACTCGTAGCACAAACCAAACCTTTGCACTGATTCGGAAGCTTTGCCATGACGGAAACTGCTGCCTAAGTCTTCTTCAAAAGTCGATAAAACAGAGCCCCGCCGATGCCAAAGAGAAAAACCCTGCTATTATAAATCCAAATATTTAAACATCTTCAGTGTCCTCCTTAGACAGAACTGAGAGACACATCAGCTGCCAAACTCCCCACGGACCTCTGACGTATCCCGCAGCATGAGTCTCAGATGGACAAGAGGGTTCTCCAGGACCCTATTGTTCTGTTGAAAAGATTTTGTCAATTGCGTTGAAAGTCCAGCTCACCAGATCCATAATCGTGTTTTTCGTTTGGTAGATATGTACCAGGAGCTTCAAACACAAAGAGCAGAGCAGAAGGAATAGGAGAACAAGGGGAGGGAGAGCAGGAGCGTCTGCCTTGAGCAAGAGCCAGAGTAGAAAAGAATGTTGGATGTGGTCTGCCATGATGCTCTGAAGCCACTTCTCTACATACGTTACTTTAATCAGTTGGCATTAACTCAGCATTGGCCAATTGTGTCTGCATTCCCTGTTCCTGCTTTGTTTTTGGAATTGCCACAGCCATTTGTCCAAGCAAGCCAAGCCGAGCAAACAATCTGACATCAGCAAACTGCAGCCGTTGATTGGCCTATGGATCAATGTCACTGGATGAACCAAGGCTGTACTTGTAAACTTGCAGTGCTGCCAACTTAGCAACTTTAGCAAGTTTTCAGACCCCTCAAGTGACATTTTTTTCAAGCAATTAGCAACAAATCTAGTTATTTTTTTCAGGTGAGTTTGGCGACTTTTGGAGACTTTTAGAGGTTACACATAAAGGCACTGATCATTCAGCAGTCACTGTCATCAATGAGCAGCAAGTGCTGCTGTAAGCCCAGCCTGCTCCCGTGAGTGGGGGACACATTTACAAATGAGACACACCTACACCTGGGAAGAACCAAATAGAAATGAGGGGATCAGAATTGTTCTAGATATTGGAGAAGTCGGTTCACAACTGGTATTAACTACTGTAACCATCACTGCATTCTGTACTCATAGGTCAGTTGGTCATCATTATCTACATGTATCTACACATGTATTTGTATGTACCACTAGTCGATGTTTTCTCCATTTGTGAATAACGTCCTTAAGTTACAGTGCTTACAAAATGTATTCAACACCTTACATTTTGTGCTTGTATTGCTGTCATGATTCACCCAATCATCCATTAGTTTTTTTTTTTTACCCACTTCTTCCTTTCTAGGTTGGGGGGTCATTGGTACCCATGTCCAGTAGTCTAATTTAAAGTGACTGTCCTATTTCAACTCAGATATACAAGTCAGGGATGGATACATAAATAATTCCAAGGCCCTTAACATCTCCAGGAGTTCTGTTAAATCCATTAATTCAAGAAATGGAAGTATGAAAGAAGAAATGGGACATGTGTACATCTATCCAGATACCAGTGACCGTGCAAGAAGGAGAATAGCGAGATAGACCACTTAGACTCCTGTGACCCCTCGGAAGGAGTTACAAGCTTCAGCAGGTGAGATGGGAGAGACTTAACTTACAACTGTTGCCACGTTCTTCAACATTCTAAGCTTTATAAGAGCATGGCAAAGACAAAATCATTTCTGAAAACGGAATAAACTTAAAATTAAAAAAATGTAAATGACAGAACAAAAACAAAACCACAAACCTATAATCCTTCTTAAGGTCCTCTAAACACTTGGCTTTGTTACATTGGTACAGTGAAAAATAAATTGATGTTTTATTTAATTTTATTTTACCCCTCAGTAGATAATTTATTTTCTTTAAATTGTATTTGCTCATGTTTGGGTTCCTAGTTTCAATGCTGATTTTGTTTATATACCAAAAGTTAAATATTTAACTTTATGTGAAATTGCACTGTTTGTTTGGCATGTACAACTGGACAGACCACAGTGTTGTCTGGGTGTTGGAAGACAATACCAGTCACACCTACCCTAAACAGCTGTAAGACACTGGGTGAATCTTCCCCACCAAAAACCCTCTCTTCAGTTAAGCCATGACTACAACAGAGAGTTTGATACAAGGATGGTGTCTATTATTTCATGTGGCCCTGTGAGAGAAAGGGTGGGTCTGTGGATTGGGTTTGCTTTCCATAGATAGTATTAAATGAAGTGAAGAAAGCTGATGCCAACAAACTCGATAAACTCATCAAGAGAGCTGGATCAGTTCTGGGAGTGGACCTGCAGTCTCTGAC